AATTTAAATCAGCTTCACCGCATAAGAGAGAAGAGCAGTATCACCACTTGTGATTATACTTTGTTTGGGTACAATCTATCTTGGCAACTTGAGGTTTTTCTGTAGTACATTTCTATGCCAGCAACACCAAAAATAGTCTGTAATGTTGCATATGGTTCACTTGTTTGGGGCTGATCTGTTATGTGACAGTATCAATTTCTGGAAGTGTTAGTTAAAGGGCTCACAATTAGATAGGCACAAAAATGAAAACTCCTCAGGTCTCTTGATTTCTATGCCTGTTTGTGCTGTAGTCTACAGCCTCCAGACAGTGTAGCAGGCAACGTGCAAATATAACTAAAGATGACAATTCCTGCATCAAGGACCAAAGTGAGTATGACAGAGAGAAGTAGCACAAGATCTCTTGATGTCGAAAATAGAGCTGGTCGAAACTGTCAACAGAATATTTGTTTTACTGAAAATGCTGATTCATCAATACAGAACTATTTTTCAAGAAATATACTGATTTTGCTCAACTTTCTAATGAAATACAGGCAAGTCTTGAAATCTTCATTGTCTCCTGGCTAGATCATTCACCATCATTCCTCAGAGATCTCCCTGGTCCCAAACTCCATCACAGGACTATGCTGGAGGAGGTTTGATTCAATAAGTGTTTGAAATCCCAGATGGTTTCTGTTACAGCCTGCCTCTGGCACTTTTTTCCACCACAGGATGGTTCTTACTCTCCCATCATCATGTTTCCGGTACTCACATGTCTCTCCACCCTTGTCTTTCCTACCCGTTCAGGCTAAAACGGCAACATATCACCCTTTCTGTTTCCATGGGAGGGATCAAATCTGTTCTCCAAGGCTTGTCTCTATCGTTTCCCATATACTTCATTGTATGTGTCCTAAAACATCCGAAACATAAAAGGACAGTCTGCCTATGTGTTAAATATTTTGCTCTGTGGCAGCATGAAACCCTGGCCTACACATAACCTTAGGCCAAGTATTCAAATTAAAGCCAGTATTATAGCAACTACTGAATTGTGTCACATTTGAGTAGAGTATGAGCTGCCTGGAGGGACTGATTCAGACATGAGAAAGCAAAAGTCTTTTTCCTGGCAACATCTCCCATGAGAAATGAAAATATGACTTACAAATAAAACATGCGTAATTAGGCAATGACTATCTTGACCAAAACCTATCTTTACACAAACCTATATGACTTTTTAATCTTTCACTTTTGTTCTTTACTGATTACATATATATCAATCGTAAACAGGAACAGGCATGCAAGAAGAGATTCAGTCATATTTACTAACACATGCAACACTCAATTGTAACAGCATTTGTGCAATGGTTCTCTGACAGAGTGATTCTCTGATGTTTTGAGGACTTCTGAAAGGTGGAAGAACTCTAATTTGTATAAAAATAAGCTCCATTAGTAAACAGAATAGTCACAGGATAGGAGTGGGTGCTATCCTGTGAGAAATCACAAGGCCAAAAAGGTAATAACCTTGGAAAGAACTTTCCTATAAGGTAGGAACTCTTAAAAGGAAGTCACAAGGTCCTTATTAGGAAACTGAGAATAGAGTAGATAAGAAATCATACAAAATCAGGTAAGGCTTAGTAAAAGAAATGATGGTGTTATTCAACAATACCCAAAACTTGACAGATGTTACAAACTCAATCTCATGCCCTATGCTGAGGTACTAGAGGTTCATATTCTGGGTTTGACTCCACCTCCCAGCATAATCTTGCACATCTTGTACTGCTCTGGCAGTGTACATACAGAGGACCATTGCAAAAGGGAAGCTGATGTAGTAGAGAAAGGAATAAGCAGCAAAATCAAAGTGGGCATAACTCCAGACATGCAACATAGCATAGTAGCAGAAACTTGGAAGTACAACAGTTGATGATTGGAGAAGGATACAAAAAGACAGAGAAAGAGATTTCAGACATTGAAACTATTAAGTTGTTTTACTGGATCAGTATTGAGGTGCAATTTTGTTGAGTAAGGGAGAGGAGGCAGTTATAGATGATTTCCAGGTACAGACATGAAAGATAAGAGGGATTTGGCAGTATAATCTTCAAAATAAAGTGAATAAGGGGAAGTGTCTGGAAGTAAAACATTTTAGTATAGGTAGTGCTTAGAAAGAGGTTATCATTCACCAGGAAAAATTGCCATCCACATTAGTTGCCTAAGTGCTGAAAAGTAAAAGCAGAAAGCAGTAAACAGAGATGTAATGGTTAATATTTTTGTAATAAGAGCCATCCACATATTTAGGGCGATTATTTTTATTTCTCCAGAAATACCACTAAGTTTTTCCTATTAAAATGTTAGATAAAACTGAAGTTTGCAGCACAAACAGAAGTGGGATTGGTTTCATACAATTTGTGAGAGCACAGGGGAACGTTTTATTCTGCGTACTGTCACAGCATGTGACAGACCCATCAGGGATTGCAGAAAGAGATAAAGACTCGATTCCCTGCCCTTCTTGAAGACTAAATATTGGCTCTTTATGGTACTGGTGGTATTTGTTAACTTTCTACTGATGTTTTTGAAACTTAGCATTGATTTAAAATGAAGTATTTTTGATGGCTTTTAAACTTGATTAGGATACTATGCTTGTGGGGGAACATGCTTACTCATAAGTGATCATATCCTTATGCTATTCCAACTGGACTGTGAACAGCTGTTCCTTAGACTCGAGATGATACGATTGATTTAAGTGGAGGACACTGAGGCATAGTGTCTGACACATCTCTGTCCAAAACAACTCTTCTACACAGGTGCCTCATTGTAAGGAAGAACCTGACTACCCAAACCCAAGACTGGCTACATGAAGGAGGACTATGTTTCCATCTTTCATTGTTTCATGGAAGAGAAGAAGAACCTGTAAAGATGCCGAGAGGACTGAATCCTCCATGTGGAACTGCTGAAAGTTTTTTTACAGTGCTGTTTTGTCATATGATAATGTGATACTGACAGACCACAAGACAAAGAGGAAGCAACACAATTCCTGCTTAATGAGATAAAGCCACAGAAAGAGGAAAATGGAGCAATTTGGCTGTAAACTTTGGATTGGGTCCATAGGTAGCCTGGAGGACAGTATCTTTAACCATTCATGGTGCCTGGGTCTGCTTCTGAAGTCCTATATGACTTCTTGGTGTCATTTTTTCCCCAAATCATATGAGAAACTTCTCCACCCTGGTCCTCATGTTCCCAGAGAAAATTAAGTATTTCCTACATCTTTCATAGTTGTGGGTTGTTGAAGAAGTGCATCTTGACTCCTTATAACCTTGTCTAGTTCCATTTTAAAACACTGTGTGCCATCTACTTGCTTCAACAACCTTCCAGCTGAAGGCAGTTGGTGAAGAAATAGTATTATAAATTAACATTTCACAGCAGTAAATTTTACTGTTTGATACAAAATACAATCATAAAATATACAGTCAGAGAATTATGTCAAACTCTGATTTCTTAAAAGTTGCACATACATGTTTGTCTACTGTTTGAAAGCAGTCTTGAAAATTGCCCAGGAAGTATTATTGATAAAGAAAGCTTAAGAAAATTTATTTATATTTATTAAAGGTGAGACAAACAGGACTTATGTAAAATTTCTCTAGCTTCAGGTAGAACAAAAACCATTGGACACACAGAACAGAGTTATGCAACTACATGTTATCTTTCCTAACTAAATTGACAATTGCTTAACTGCTGAATAAAAAACTGAACAGTCAGTATAATATATCTGTACTAAAGAACTTGAAGTTTTATTTTGATTATACTGTACAGATTTTGAAAGTCCTAAAACTGATATTTTTTACCTTGACCCCTAGACTTTGTCAAAATTTAGCCTTTCAAGATTGTTTCCATTGGAGGGGGCAAGTCATTAATATGGGCCAGGGATATTTTTAATACTAACTTGATTCTTTCTTTAGAACTATGTACACATATGCTCATTTCCAGAACATAAAAGGATAAGAGTAATAGGCTTTACTTTTTTTTTTTTTTTTTTTTTTCCAGCAGTCTACCACTCCAGCTTTTTACTCAAAAAAATTCCTTGTTTATGCTTCTTAGAAACAAATCTTCTTTATATGCAGCAAACAGACAGTATGGGAAAAAATATCCCTCAGACCACCTGACTCTGATACAGTTTTTCCAACAGCCCAATAAAAATTGCTACTTTGGTGTAAGACTTGAAACAGAATCAAACTCATCAAGTAACATCCTGCAGCCTGTCATTTAGTCATTTGGAAACCCAGTGTAAAAGGAACCATGTTTATCCATTGGATGAAGCTACCAAACATTTTCCTGCAATATTCATCCTGAATGATATTAGACCACTTTCCCTTAGTGGACTGATTGATCGATCTCTCTCTCTCTCTCTCTCTCTCTCTCTCTCTCTCTAATCTATCTATCTATCTAACTACACATGCACAGATATATATATATACACACACACACCCCCACACCTACAAAGGGTGCTTGGGTTTCCATGCAAAGTAGGAAAGAACAGGGAGTTACAGTGGCATGTGTTTACAGAAATGTGATGCTGGCTAGGTGGTTATAGTATGTTATTTAAGGAAATTAACTATGATTTATAGCAGCAAATAAATAAGACAAAGCTTATTTAACGTATCTCGGCATTAAGTATCTCCTGCATTAATTATCTCCAAAGTCTGTTCCATTTGTTATCTAACAAGGTATGCTCCATTATTATTTTTATCCAGTTCATTGCTTGATTCTATCTGTCCTTTCAAAATTAACTTGTCTAATCAGAAACCAGTTTCATTGGTAGTTCATTTCACATAAAAAGGAGGAATTCTTGTTTACTGAGAAAGTAATTGGATTATAATTTTGAAAAGAAAGAAATATGAATTGTAATAAATTATTTCTTAAAAAATACATGGAAGCGTGAAAACCAGCAAACCCAAACCAAATTAAAAACTCTAATGAATGAAAAGGATATAAATAGAATATGAAACTGGAAAGAATAATTTATCATTGTAACTTACCTACTCCTTGGTATTCTGTTGAAAAGAGCTGAATATGTAAGGAAAGAAGAAAAGATTTATGTATTTACTAAATGATGATCAAGTAAATATTTATATTAACTGTCATTTTTCTTCTAGTTTTTTAGCACTTGTAAAAAGTAATTAAACCTTTATTGTAGAAAGTAAAAGTATAATTTAACCACAAGTTGGAAGTTCACAATTCTGTTTGAGTTATTGATTAAATTCTATTGATAAAGATTGCATGATCACAAGGAGACTATATTATGGTTGCACACATTGTCTTGTTGCACATCACTGTGTATATTTAAATGGAAGAGAGAGAATGCAGAAATTTTATGAAAAGCTCTGGGCAATATACTTTGGATGTTTATGCATCTGATCTATCCCATATATTTTACTAGTTCCCAACACTACAGTTCAAATCAAACTGTAGGAAGATTTTTTCATTTTTTAATTAATTAACTAATAGTTTATTGATAATCCTGGGGTTTTTCTAGCTAAAACAAGGAAAACAACAAGTATGAAACATGTGAAATAACTGATAGAAACTATGAAAATTGCCTAAAAGAAAATAAATCACATAGAAAAGAATGTGCAAAACTAGCATAAATAAGATTGTAGAAATTGGAAACAAGATCTGATAACTACATTATAATCTTACATTATAAAAGAATTACAGTCTTGTATAGAGTATAAAAATATAATAATTAATATGAAATTCTGAAGTCTTAGGGGAAACTTGACTCTTACCTGTTCAGCTGATTAATACCTTGAGTTCTTTTTATTTGTAGACCTAAAAAAGAAAAATATGAAATTAAATTAAATACACTATATATGAGAGAAATGGTTATAAATTTACACTGATTTAGTCTGATTTTATTTATCTGAAAATCATTCAGGTTTTCCTTGTTATTAAATTACATTTATGATAACAGTTCAGGCTTTGATCCTGAAATTACACATTTGGGGACTGAAGTATTAATAATTTGTGATTAAAAGGATCCAGTTCTTACCTATGTATCCAACCTTTATAGAATCATCATCATATCATAGAATCGTAGAATGGTTTGAGCTAGAAGGAACCTTAAAGATCATCTAGTTCCAACCCCCCTGCCCCGGGCAGCCCAGGGGGCTCCCAGCCCCGTCCAACCTGGCCTGGAACCCTTCCAGGGAGGGGGCAGCCACAGCTGCTCTGGGCAACCTAGGCCAGAGCCTCACCGCCCTCACTGTGAAGAACTTCTTCCTTATATCTAAGCTAAATCTACCCTCTTTCAGTTTAGAAACATTACCCTTTTTCCTATCACTACACTCCCTCACAGAGTACCTCTGCAGCTTTCTTCTGAGTCCACTTTAAGCACTGGAAGGCAGCTATAAGGACTCCCTGGAGCCTTCTCTTCTTCAGGCTGAACAAGCTCAAGTCTCTCAGCCTGCCCTCACAGGGGAGCTGCTCCAGCTCCCTGACCATCTTTGTGTCTTCCTCTGGTTCCACTCGATCAGGTCTGTGTCTTTCTTATACTAGGGCCCCAAAGCTGGACACAGCACTGCAGGTGGGGTCTCACAGGAGCAAAGCAGACGGGGAGTATCCCCTTCCTCAAGCTGCTGGCCACACTTCTCTCGACGCAGCCTAGGACACGATTGGCTTTCTAGGCTGAGAGCGTGCACTGCTGGCTCACAGTCAGTTTTCCATCCACTCATGCCCCCAGATCTTTCTCTGCAGGGCTGCTCTGAGTCCACTCATCACCCAGCCTGTGTTTGTGCTTGGGATTACTCCAACCCACGGGCAGGACCTTGCACTTGGCCTTGTTGAACTTCATGAGGTTTTCACAGGCCCAGCTCTCCAGCCCGTCCAGGTCCCTCTGGATGGCATCCCCTCCCTCCAGCATGTCACCCACCACACAGCATGGTATCGTCAGTGAACTTGCTGAGGGTGCATTCAATCCCCCTGTCCGTGTCACCGACAAAGATGTTAAACAGCACCAGTCCCAACACCAACCCCTGAGGAACACCACTTGTCACCGCTCTCCACCTGGACATCGAGCTGTTGACCACAACACTTCGAGTGCAACCATCCAGCCAATTCCTTACCTACTGAGTGGTCCATCCATCAAATCCATAGTGCAGTTTATTCAGTGAATATACTCAAATTTAGTGCAGGGAGATTGATAAAAGTAATCACCAAACACCATACTGGCTTAGAATAAAGATGAAAGCAAAATGTACCTGACTCAGCAAAGACAGGAGTTAAATGCTAGGTTATTCACAGAAGTGTGTCAGTAAGAGGAATTTCATGCATGACAGATGTTAGAATGGGCATTAAAATGATCAGGACAAAAATCATTAACAGCTCCATAAAGTACATTGCTAAAGCATATATGTAGTGTCACATGCAAATTCTCTACAACTTCAAAAGGTCTATTTCCATGTGCAAAATCAGGCTTATATTTGAACAAGATAAAAACATTAATCAGTTTCTTAATACTCACTCAGTGTGTCTATTCTAAATTTAGAAAGCAAAAGTTTAACATGCTACCAATTCCATGAGTCTCAAAAAGCTGTTATAAAATGACTGGACAGAATTTTATTTCTTTCAGTCACTAATGTGTATGTTAACTACTGAGGGCCCTAGCTATACCCCATGTACTAATCAGGCCTTGCCCATCCAAGCTGCATGGAAATAAAATTATTGATGTACTGAGAGGTATTACTATCCCTATGCTGTCTGGGTCAGTGTCTCATTGCAGAAAAAGACATTATCATACTTGATAAATGTGATTTTGACTAAACCTGAGCAAATGATTACTTAGAAGGATTATTACCTCCATAAAATAGGGAATTAATAGTATTTGGGTAGGAATGACACATAAAATCACTGTTGTGCAGTCAATACAAAATATTTAAAACAGATTTTTTTTTTTTTTGTTACCCTAAATAAAAAGTAGTGTTGCACCCACTCTTCAGCTTCATATCATATAAGAAAGAAGTTTGACAGTGATGTAAAATCTCTCAGTCTGCCCCGGTCATAAGCTCTAGGATTCTGATTCAGGACACTTGAGAGAGCATAATCCACTTGAATATGCAGTCTGTAGAAATCTTCAGCTAAATGTTGGTGATAGGAAGCTTCAAAAAGTAGACAAGGTAAACTGTAACCAGTCTCACAGATGTTTAGAGTTTTATTGTTTGTGCTATAGTGATTCAACCTGAAAATGCTAAAGACAAGGGTGGAATTACCAAGTACATTATTACTGAATAGGTAATATTAACCTTAAAATTATTGGCACATGTTTTGTAGACTGGAGGTTGTGTTGTTTTGTTTTTGTTTTTTTTTTTTTTTGTTTTTTTTTTTTTTTTTGTGTCTGAGTACTCCTTGTTGTCACTGGAAAGGCTCAAAAAATGAAATAAAATTTGTTCACATTAAAGTTATCAAGCAGCTTTTACCTTTTGATTTTAGTAGTATTATTTGTGTCTAAGATCATGAGCTTGTAACAATTTAATCTTGTGAAGCTAACTCTCTACCAGCATTTCATCTTCTATCCCTACTGTTGGAGTTCCATTCAGTTTTGCTTCAGAGACCACTTACATACAGTGCACCTGCCCATCACAGCTGGTATTTAGGTAAAAGAGAAGTATGTGTTAAGAATGAAGGGAATTCCTACTCATCTCACATAAGCTACTAAGATGGGATGGTAAGCTGCTTTTAGTGTGGTGCCTTTGAGTCCTTTCCTTCTTTATTAATTAAGCAATCAATGAACCAAAAGTTCTTTTTCCTCTCCTACTGGCTGCTCACTTTACGTATATCCATTTCTGACCTTTGTCATTTTCCTCCTCTCTGTCTGCTGTGTCCTGTCACCTAATGCAAGATCTGTCCTCTTCATTTCCCTCCAACCAGACTGTCAAATGGGCCTTTCAATACCAACAGAATATAAGTTAAACCAAGCTGTATAACCTCTCCCCAAAAAAGAACTGTGAACTGACTCCTTTAGTGGAGTTCAAGTCTTTGACAGGCTCACATCAGAAATCAGATGAGAGCATAATTTACATTATTTAAAATTTTTAAATTAAATATTTTTATTTATTTTTAAGCTTGGACAATACGAAGCTCTGAAGTTTCTTTGAAGAGCTTTACTACAAATTGACCTGCCTGCCTACTGCATTAAAAAAATTGATTTTCTTTTCCTCAGTGAAGACTTTTCTTTGAGAAGAATTAATTAAATTTGTACTCACATTGTGAGCATTCTGCATGTGATTCTGAAGTTTTAAAACCTTTAAAAACAATAATAAAATTATTTTAATTTATCTTAACTTTGTAGAGCATGTGTATTTGTAATTCTCAATTAACATGACATAAGGAAGTGTTACAGATCTGGGACTAAGTCCTCCAAGTCATCTGACTTCCAAGTTTATATGTTTTGGGCTTCCCAGTCTGCTTGTGATGGGAAAATTCCTGGTTTTGGATCAGCCTTCATAGTTTAGACAGACAGAGTCAGGCTTTTGCTCAGAATTTGAGGTCACCAATCTGTGAAGAAAAAGCATCAAGTTATCATAAAATATGTATTGTCCAATAACAAATCAGGAGCTTTAAACATATACAGCTTGGGGCTGTAACCTATCTCCTTATAGCCTCTACCTCATCAGTGAGTTTTGTAGTATTTTCTTTCCCACATCTCCTTCCTCAACAATTTATTCTTGCTCCAGGTAAGATTTAAGAGATTCTTTGGGAGTACTAAAAACTACAGGCAGTCCAGGGACATAACTGGTTAGCTATTCTGGGCCACAGATATTCCAATATAACCCTTTTGTGTTGGCACCTTATTTATTAGTGATTGAAATCCTTTTCCTTTCAAAGGAGTTCCTTCATGTAAGATGCATTATAACATCACCATAGTGATGGTTACTCCAACCAAGATGTTCTAGTTACTTTTTTTGTCTATCAGAGTTCACTGTTTGCAAATATTGGATGCAGTTTAGTCACTAAATTACATAATTCTTAAAACCCCAGAGAAAAGAGGGGACCTCTGGAAGTCATCTTGTCCAGTGCTCACATGTTGTTGCTGACTGTAAATGAAGGTTCTTTGATAAACTTCTCCTGAATTTGACTCTAAGTGCATTTTTCACCTCTTTTAAATGCAAATTCAAACGTGTTAAACTATCTCGATGGTGATTTAAGACTATTTGCCTTGTTTTGCAAATGGGATAATCGTGGAGTATGCAGAAGGTCAGATAACATGGGTCAGCTGGCAAGAAGTATGTCAGCTGAGAGTAGTTGTTAAAGCACTGGCTGTCTTCTAAGCATGTCCATAGCAAGCACCTAGGGAGTTTTGAATGTGAATTCTTGGGCTATACACAAACAACTTCATAGTTCTAATAATTCATAGCTGTTAAAGGTTAAAAGACTAGAACTATGGTGATACAGTCCTTTATACTTTATTTATCTAACTGAATTTGGCTAATTAACAATTTAAACACCTTGAAAGCAATATAAAATCTATTGTGCTGTTTGGCATTGTGCTTCCACTGGAAATGGCTTATATATCCTCTACTCTATATTAAATTAGGTATATTTTGGACACAATTGCTGTAAACAATTACAGTGATTTTTTGAGAACTCCGTTTTATAGACTAACACTCCAGTAAATTTTCTGTGCTTGCACACAACTGAAAATATGTGAAAACCAGAAAATTAAGTAAGATTAAAGTGCTTTTATTACTGATTTTAAACTGTGTTTCTCTGTGCATAACATAAATTGCTACCCAGATACAAAAGTGAGAGATGGAAATTTGCAAGTCTATTTCACA